TGTTAACAATGTCATCACTTACAATATTATATTATACTCGTACATAAACTTGAGGGCAAACCATTTATTTCTACCAAACTTTAAACTAGATGACCTAGTCTTTGTCTATCTTCACTTTAGACTTTAAGACCAATCTATCTATCTATACTATTATAATAAAACGTAAACACACACTTCTTTGTTGCCTAAGATGTCAGCAATTACACCATATTTTTGAATAATTCTTTCATGCCATTAAATTTAAGGGGTAAATATTTTGGATAAAAACCCTAATGTGGGAAAGAGACCATAAGTTGCTGCCAACATCAAGGAAGCAAGGTTGCCATGGTTTGTCATGTCATGTCACTTTAATATTTCCAATTGATAATTTGACACAAGTAAACAACAAAATAAAATTTCCATAATTTTATGCGACTGAAGACGCACGGGAACAGCTAGTTTCTAATATTGGAAGATATTTTAAATGAAAATGCAATGATTGATGCATGTTACATGTGAACGACCCTTGAGGCTTTCTACGTTCGCTCTCGACAGAGCAGATCCCGTCATTACCTTATCTAGTGCAAATGTCCGAGGAAATGACAACGTAATTTTACTAAACTTTCGTTTAATTATACATCTATTTAGACTTATTACATTTGTAAAGGATATAAGTAAAAGAGAAATTGTACAGTCGTAATAAGCTAAGACAGACCGATGCAGAGATTCGATCGAATTTATAAAATAGCTAAACAATCCATAGTCCTTTAGAACAAAATCCCTTTTTTTTTAAATTGCAAACCAGCGCTTGACCACTACCCCACCTAGACCAAGGTGAAGATGTGGTCGAAGGATGGTACGCGCTAGTGAGCGCGCTTTATTCCTTTCATTTAAATTTATTGGTTCATGTATTGATTTTGGCAATACTGACTACTAAAATAGCTGTTTATATGACTAGGCCTAATACTTGCGGTATTTATCTATTTACATACGAACGGTCAAACGCGCAGGGAATACATATATGGTAATAAACATTCAAATACCGTACGTGTACGAATTAACAGTTTCCTATACAGTATTATAGGCCAAGGATGGTTAGACAACTACCAAATGTTACAGCGAATCAGTCTACACATTAGTATGTGAAAAATTTAACATGGAATAGACACATAAACAGACTGATTACTGCTTTATAGTTTAACGAGGGAAAAAAAAACAAAAGTAACTGGCCTGTGTTCTCCAGTTTAGGCTACAAACTCTAACAAACTTTCCATAAATAAAACATTCTTAGATGCAGTTGCGCAATATTTGTAACTAGTAAGTTTGTTTTCAAATTAAATTTAAATTTAGAACTCTGCGATTTACTTATAAAACCGCATATTATCTCGATATTTTGACCATCACGTCACCCGATGTTTATTGATGGGACGTGTCAAGGTCGTCCTCGATCTGTCAAAGAGCAAACGGCACACCATGCTCGACTGCCATAGAGTGACCGTTACCAGTTTCATGTCACATCTTCGTCCTGCATTCCTTAACGATTATCGGTTAAATAACTGTTTCCTTTGGTTTTGCTAACGTTTTTGCAAATTTTCCACGTAAAAAAAACACTAGAAAGTCATTCTGCGTAATCGTATCTATATCATGTAGGTTTACCTTAAATGTATAAAGGAAAGAAACCTAGTCGATTTCTATAAAACATTTTTTTTCTATATTTAATACGTAAAATATTGGTTTCATATCTTTTTTTCCGTATTAGACACACATTCAGCAAAGCTTATCAATGTTACGGTCGTGATGTACTCGTTAGTGACGGTTGTTTAAAAAAAAAAAACGCATTCGTCTTACTTTCGTTCAGTGCAGTAGCAAATAGTTCAGTAACCGCACACTTTCTTAAAAAAAATACTGTTTTACAGTAACATTTTGTTTAAGTCTTCACTAAGGTATAACTTAAGTTGAATTTTTCACTGATTTTCCCAACGTAGTTTACTAAACAGTTGTGTTGTAGCTATAATTTGTCGCGCGAAGTTTTCAATTCCGTTCCGAAACACGCAGAACGGATTTCATAATATCAACAAACAATCTTAAAACACACATCAAATGGTCAATCTGAAATTTCAAAATTACGATCGCGTATTTATTTTAATAGAACTAAGATATTTATATAAGAAAACGTTGAAATTAAATTTAATGAAAGTTAAATTCTAATTTAAATGAAAAAACAAAAATTAAAACTAAACATCATCGGATTAAAAAAAGTTTTTGCCTATATCCAAACTATTATTTTATCTCAAAAAGTTTTTCAAATACGTCATAATAACGCAGTACATTCCAATTAAAGAATCCATTGAGTTATAATTTAAAAAAAAAAAACATGAATTATAAATATAATGTAAACTCACAACGAATGTGGTTGATGTAATAAATAAAATCAAAAAACAGTTACAAAATGAATTAAAAATGTTGGAATACTTAATAGTATTACTGATCGGGTTCTGGCTGGGAGTTGCCATATTCCTGTATGTCTCCTGCTATTGGATTGAAGAGATTTTAGGTAAGTTTTAGCGCTAACTTTTTTTTAGTAAGTTCAAAGACATTATATTAGTAGCCTGTTCTTCCAGACGGTCCTCTACATATGTGACTTGCATACTTGTTTCAATTCGTCCGACAAGACATGGGGCATAAAATGCATATATACGTATGTAAACAGAACATTTTAAGTTATATGTTGTCTCAATACAGATTTGGGTAAAGCCAACTTGTTTATTGATCAATAAAAAGAAATAAAGGACACTTGTATGTACAGAATGAATGTTCTGGTATGTTCACATTTATTGTCTGTAATGATTTGGTTTATAGCCTTCTTTTGTATTTGCCGTTATATTACTGCAGCTCGACGTAGATAATTTTGTAGCCACATAAGTATTGCTGTTTTTATTTTAAATACTGAAAATCTCTCGCATGTTTCGTTTAACAATATGCCGATACGAAGTGAACGTTGCTTATGTATATTACTTTAATTACAACCAGTGGAATAAGTACTTATCCAAGAATTAAAAGGATTATTATAATTACTGTACACAACACAGACGAATCCTACAAAAAATACTAAACAAAAAACTTCCTTGAAAAACAAGACTGACGTCTATTCAAACACATTATTCAACTCATCTCATGTGCACTGCAAAAAGTGTTTAAAAAAACACAACCGGTTTTTAATTTAATATAAAAGAAACGAAACTAATAATTATTTATCTTTATTTTGTATCCTTTTTTAGAAGTTATAACATCAAAGTCACCAACTCAGGCAAAACGCAAGCCCTATTCAAATCTACATATGATTTTCGGGTATATTTGAAAAACAGATTATCATAAGAACGATACAATAGAATAATAATATACTCGCACGCTTATTTCAGTCTTTGGCGAGACAACTAATAAATTATGCAACAATAATCTAAAGAATACCTAATAATAGAAAAATTAAAATGTCCTCTGGTCGTGAATAGCTTAACAAAATAACTCATAAATAATCGCACAAACAAAAATCAAAGACAACGCTTTAACTTTTTAAATCTACAGATAGAGGTCACACGACCTCGGATTCTGACTACTCGAGAAAACGCTAGATGGCGTGCGGGATGACTATGACAAATACTAATTGTTGCCATTGTTCAGCGCCCGGACACAGATAATAACAGCTAATTGACTATGCATTATTATAATTTACAACTTCACTTGAATACAAAAGTATTCTTAAATCAAGGTTGTTTCTAATCAAACAGTTAATTGCGAAATTTCAACTGCCAAGATTAAAAATATGAAACTCTTAACGCTTTATTTAAAAGGTCCTGATAGTCGCACTACGTTAGTGCTAAACGCTTAAAAAATTACAATGCACGCGCATATTTTTACGTACTGCACTCTTATGGCTTTGTGTCTACATGAGTAATTGATAAACACCATTAAAAAAAATCATTATTAATCTTTGAAAAGTTGTAAATAGTATCGTTTTCACGTTTCATTTCTGTAAACTGTTGTTTCTTTTGTTTAGATTTACCGCAAACCCAGCATGGTTCGAACGCCGACTACATCAGCAGCGGGGCGAGCGGTGCGCACGCGCAGCTCAAGCGGCTCGTTGCCAGAGTCGTGGAAGAGGCTGCAGCGTTACCGGCGCTGGCGCGGTACGCCGCCGCGCCCTCGCCCACGCCCACGCCTACGCCCAACATACACTCCACGTATGAGGATCTGCTTGCTACTGCTATACTGAATAAGGTAAATTTTCAGAACTAAAATATCTAAGCACATTTTTCTCAGTCCCTCCAGTGCTGCATTGACATTTGCGACAACAATGTTGCTGGCAACATTTCATCCGTTTGAAGCTGATCATTTACGAGGGTATAACCTTAACGACGAGGTTAAATTAAGGAAATATATGAGCTTTTTAAAATTGAACGTTTTAGCAGATTTAGATTTTGTTGTCAAATTAACAAATGAAAACAACTATATTTTTAAAAGATTCGCCAAAAGGGATTAATAAAGCATTTACGGATTTTCAGGTAATTATATTTGTCGTTCTAGACGTTTCGTGATTTAGGTATTTAAAAAACATTTAAAATAAAAGAAGCAACACAAGGTTGTATTTACAATTTAAAATAGCAAAAAAAAAAATAACTAGTACCTATGTAATTACCAGTTTTATTGCGTGTTTTAACGCTGTTTGATCACAGATTATATTCCAATTGAACGCCGAAATTATGTAAACAGAGAAACGTCAAATCCTTCATGGCGGCCACACTATCTTTTGTTGAATTACTTTATGAAAACTGCGATATAAAGAACATTGATATCGTATAATATGAATAGCAGAATTACGCTGTTATGAGAAAAAATGTATTTTACAGGAAATGTTATGTTTAAAACAAGTGTGATTTGTCTATGGTTGATAATTTTTAATCTATGGCTTGTAACCAGGGATCAGCACGGTTTTAGCATTACCAGTGCCATGGGCGAAATATCAACGGCGACCCTTAACTACAAGACAAACCCATACGGAAAAAGACGCTTTAGTCGCCCTTTTATGTCGCCCAGGGCCGTAAACCCACCTCGCTCTACGCTATCGATGCTGGGTATTAAAGAAAGGAGAGATTGAGTCACGCATTTACTTGCACTATCCTTGTCATTTATGAAACAGAAACATTATTATTTATATTAAAAACACTGGCGTATTCAACAATTGTTCGTTGGTTAATCATCAAGGGATTTTCATTTGTTTTTATGCATTCATATATCGTCCGGTATTTCTATAATTGAAATGACCATTTATTGTGTATACGTTAATATTTTATTATATAAAAGTCAGTATATCAAGTAAGCTTGGTTTAATTACATGTGCATTAAACATAAACTGCAGTTAAAACAAGAACATTTTCAGTGTAAATAAAAGTGAATAAAAACGTCTTAGTGTAAAATGGAATCAGTATGTCCTCATTTATCTCCGTTTTATTACTTTAGCAATTTGCACTACATATCCACGAAGTTGGAGTGGCAGAAATGGCAGCACGCTTTTATGACTTACTACGATGAATGTTACGAAGTGTTGTCGGACAAAAGTTTTGAGGTAAAATATTTCAACTAAAGCATAAACTTTATAAAGGAAAATATTTGTAGCATTTCGTAGATAACTCTCAGCAACTAGCTGTGTTGCCCTGATCACCTCCTTTCCCTTGTTTACTGTTTTTATTTTGATATCAAACTATTGATTCGCCAATAATCAAGCATATCTGGTTAGTCTCGGCTTAGCTTTATGTAATGTTGGAGGGAAACCGTACAAAGTCATCACGTCACGACACCTGCCTTAAGCGCTAATTTAGGGTTGCCATACGCTAGACATTTTTAATTCATTGATATTTTATTAGGAAATTATAGAGATAAAAAAATGATTTTTTTTTTATATTTAGCAACATATCGGACTAAAGATTGTTCAATCACTGGTATACAAAAAAATAGATTTAAAACAACTTATTGTTAGATGCAAGAGTTGCATATGTGCAATTATTTGCGCGACTTACTAACGACCATTATGTCCACATTACAATCGTAACAGCGTCGCTTTCCGTCTCCGTCTTCACACCTTTCGCCGGCCTGTCTATTAAAATCTTTCCAGTTTTCCCACAGATTAAATAAAGACGTAACATTTAATAAAATAAGAAGAATTTTATGTGCATTGTGTAATACATAATTACGAGACAATTTTACATACTTATGTAAAAGTTAACATTATTTTAAAATAAGGAGTGCAGAGATTTTTACGACATCTTTGGCTTGATTTTGAATCAATTGTATTACTAATAATAACTCCGAAACACAAACTTTATCTTAAGGCAACAAACGTATGTAAAATTAACATGACGTCTATCAACATATTTACATTTAATTATCAAACGTAAATAGACATTCGTAATCATATTGCACCATACAGGTTGATAAAATACGTTAAAACTACAAAAAGGTACAAATGTTCCGAGCGTATTTGTCAACATCAATCATAAATGAGATGACTTATCGTAAACAATATCAAATCTGTTCTCAAAGCGTACCTTCGCAGGTCCTTTGACGAATGAAATCTTTAGTAGCATAGTCTAAAATGATTCAACCGTATCAATATCGAGTACGAACCCCAGATAATGCCTTATCACGATAACAATTTGTCATAAGCCGTAAAGATACATCGAAACAGTCGCACGGTATAAAGTAATGGTGAGTATTAATACGTTTTTATGTTAATTAAGCCGCGAAAGCAATCTGTCAATTGCGCGCGCGCCAAATTTTTGTCTAATGACGTGCGTTCTGAAACTTCGTTTCTTAACCGCGAGTGTTTCTTTATAATAATGTTGACGTTATATATGAGTTTGGTTGTTGCTTCTTTATATGTTATTGGTTGGGTGAGTAATTTATATAAGATGTATTCTTAACATAAAAAACAATTTCATTGGAGTTTAATATAAGTTCATCTTTTGTGATTTTGATAAAATTGAAAGTTAATTCTTCTTTGGAGTAATAACATTATTTTATTCAGTAAAATAAGCATTAAATACGATTTAAAAGAGGAATTTAGTTTAACGTCGTCGCCAACCCTGTAGATAATTTCTTTGCCAGTACTGACTGGCTGACATGGCCGCAGTGTGAGAGTGTTCCGTTCTATGAGAATTGTCTCTATCTTTCTCATTATTCTATTTTCACATTATTTACGTATATTAGAAACTAGTGCCCATTATATTTCGCGACGCTGCAACACTTACGAAGATGTACAATTTCATCAGTAATATTGTGAGTTACTTTCTCTAAATGGATCGTTTGGCGCTCTAATTATTGTCATATAATGAAGCTAAACAGATCTTAATTTATTTGCTACTAGCTTTCGCCCGCGACTCCGTTCGTGTGGAATTAAAAAAATAAAAGTGAGTAGCCTATGACCTTCCAAACTATCCTCTACATCCATACCAATTTTCATCGAAATCCGTTCAGCCCTTTAGGCTTCAAACTCTAACAAACATCCAGCCATCTAAACTTTCGCATTTACATTATTAGTAGATATAATTTATTGATATTGTTTACTACGAATATTTTAGTTAACTCATATATATTACGAGCTCGCCAGTCGGTGACAGTGTTAAAGAATTTGAGGTAAAAAAATAGGCAAACGTTATTGTAATATACATTTAAAATTCTAATCCAGTAGCTAAATATAATACAGTGTAAAAAACCTAATAACATGCATTAAATACTTGATATTGTTTAAGTGATTGCTTATCAAAGAGATTGTCAAAGTCATAGTGCAACGGTCTCCTCGCAACCAATCAGATAACTATAATAGATTTAATGAGTACTGATAACTTAATATGATAAATATGTTATCAATACAAGGGGATATTCTAAAGATGTCGGTTTAACATCCGTTATGCATCCGGGAACAGATTCAGAGTCGCGGGCGAAAACTAGTGTATTATAAATGCGAAAGTTTAGATGGATGGATGTTTGTTAGAGTTTGTAGCCTAAACGGTTAAACGGATCTCGATGAAATTTGGCATAGATGTAGAGGATAGTCTAGAGGAACACAGGCTACTTGCATTTTTCTTTAATTCTGCGCGGACGGAGTCGCGGGCGAAAGCTAGTATTAACGTTAAAATAACTTTATTGAACCGTTTAACTGTAATGTTTTGTATGCTTCAGCTGCAGATAGTAAATACGTATTGTTGTCTCTGTTTTTATAAGAAATATGAGAGGGATGCCAATAAATTTTTGTACCGCTGGTTAGGCAGAGTTGTCAGACGATGGGGCATAAGCCAGAAGTGCAGGATTGAAAGGGTTATACGTCAAGCGTCAAGGTTCTAATATTCGTTACTAGGATATCTTGGCGTTGATTTCTTTTTCACACCACGTCATATTTCAAAGGCTTTCTTAATTAGATTAATTATTTCTGTCGTCAATAACAGAAAAAGTTAATCTATTGCCACTAAGTCTCATCAAGTTAATCATAAACAAGTGTAATATGCTATACAGTGCATAGCAACTAATGTTTGTATACTAATTCTGATAACGTTAGCGCTATCTTGCGATATAATTACTTTCATTTCTTTATATACTATCAGTAGCTCCGGGATTTACTCAATTCACCAACAAAACAAGTCAACTATACAATGACTAAGCATTTCGAATTTTAAATGTGCTCTTAGATTTAAATTTATCACAGTCTTAAATACGTGTATTTCAAAAATTAATCTGAATACCAACTCACAATTCCGCACGAAGTGGTTCAAGGGATACTTCGTATAAGAGTTTGCGCACACATGAAACTAAACTATCGACCAACTGTTTAGTCTTGCTTTGATTCCAGCTTATACGGAGGTGCGTACTCTACTCTATTTTTAGTTGTGTAGTTGCAGTTGAATTGACTGCAAAACAATCGACAATCAGCAATCGTACAACAGTAGAGCGATACTTTAGTCAAAGCTGTGCGCCTGCTCTTAGTAGAACCTGCGGAGACGAAGGATCCATGCTAAACGTGAACCGTCATCGTAACTTGTAACAAATAGCTCAATCCGTCTTTGTGATTACAGGTTATCGAACGTTACCAGACAGAGAGCGGGTCCGGGGGCTCCGGAGGTCGCAGTAGTGGCATCCACTCCGCCAGCGCCAGCCCCTCGCCTTCCGAACGCTCAGAGCGCTCTGACCCGCGCTCGCTGAACTCCAGAAACGCAAGAGATATCAGTCCACCGGTAAGCTGAGTTGAACAAGTTTAACCATTCAGGCTAATCATTTTCAATTCTTCCACATTCGATGCTAAAATTTCAAGTTCTACTCTGACTTCTTACTATATTCATTTTGACTCCAGCTTCGCGAAGAGGAGGACGTATCAGACTGGGAGGAAGGTGACGCGACTGAAGAAGCTGAGGCGTTGCCGCGGCGCGTGCCTTTCCCAGAGTTCGGAGGAGACATTGTGCATAATGGTAATACAATATCCATCAATAATAAAATAAAAAAAAAACGTTTTTTAATGTGTATCGCTGGAAATAAAATGAATAAACTACTTTTATAGATAACGAAGATCATGACTTCGACGAAATATCAAGTAGTGACATACAGGCCGTCGATGGATCTTGGGAAGAGAACTGGCTGTTTCAAAAGAAAAAAATTAAAACAATACAATCTGTACCAGTACCGATGCTGGTTCCTAACTCTAATGCGGACTACCGAGCGCTGATCGGCGATAGAGACGCCGAGGATACGACTGATCTGTCGGACAATGCGAGCGACGCAGAAGAACAAGCAACAGACTACAAGAGCGATGTAAAAAAAGTTTTAGACTCAAAACATATTATTGGAGGAAAAGCAAAAGTACCAGAGGTTCACACGGATGATTTTGAAGCAGACAGTCTTGATAATATGATTTTTATTGGAACAGACGACAACGAGAAGTATAACGACACAATAGCACAGAAATTAATTCCAAGTGTAGAAGGAAATAAAATCGACATCGACAATAAAGAAAACATGAATCGTGTAAACAATAATGAGGAGAACATTGATTCCATTTTATTACTTGACGTGGAAAGCGGACCGCCGCTTAAAGCGGAATTTAATTTAAACGAAGAAATTCATAGATCCATTTTTAACGACACACAAACTAATTTATTGGTAGATCTGGATGAATCACAAAATATGGAAGCAGATAGTTTAGATGTCGTTGATCATGGCCCTAATTCAAAAATCTTTACAGGTAAACATTTAATACACTTTCTTTAAGTATTAACATCGATATCATTACAAAAAAAAAAAACATTTTAATGCTAATATTTGCAGATACTACAGCAACAAACACTTTAAGACGTCACGAGCGTGTAGGTGAATATGAAGAGACGGTGGCGGTGCCCGTGCAGAGGTACGCCGACAGTCTGCGCAGGCAACATACTGACGATGATACTAAGCGGTAACTCATAGAATCCTAACGATTAACTTAGTAATTGCTTTGATATAATTCTTATATACGCAATTCTTTTTTCAGACACACAATCATAGATGATAATGATGATTTAATACCAGGTCAGTATGCAAGTCTAGAATTTGAAATAATCTTAAATACTAGATTGAACTAGACTTTAAATATTTATACGATATTCAATTGTTGCAGGTTCCATTGCATACAGAGAACGCCAGAAATGGTTAAACTATGTTGAAATGCCAAACAATCCGTATTCACCGGAAGCTATACAAAAAAGATTAACTGCCAAAAGTACTTCATCATTATTCGATTCATTTACTTGTAAAGACAAAGAATTTAAAACAGAAGATACCGAAGTCGATTCAGTTAATCCAGTGAATGAGAACGAAGCTAATATCGAAGAAATAAAGCAAAATGGTACAGTCAACGAGGACGTCACTAATAAAATCCATTCGCTAAGTTTAAATGCATGTCATGAAAATGAATTTGATTCTCCTAATGGCAAAATCAGAAGTCCAACACATAAAAGCTTGAAACGTGTACTATCAGAAGAAATTCCTCAATACAAACGGTACTCATTGTTTCAATAAATTTATTTTCATCATTAAACAACTGTGTATTTCAATAATATATTAATACTCTTACAGATATGGCAGAGATTACTATATAAAAGACGCTAAAACTTCGTCTGGTGCGCGCAAGACAAACAGTTTGTGTAACAGCGACGCAAGCTCCATATCATCAATGCATAAATCTACCAGTTTAGATAATTTCGATACAGAGTTCGCTTCGCCTGTAAGTGCCAGCAGTTCGTTGAGCGACCTCGAGGCGTCCGCCCTTCATCACAACATCGTCCGAGCATTTCTCAGCCCCAGAAACGCCAGTCCCAACTTTGCTATAAACCCCATATTCGAAAACCCCGACAGACCGAGTGATGATGACGAGAATCACATGACAGACCATTACGTCACCCGGAACGTAAGACAACAACATAAACCTGTGTGCGATCGAGGTGATGGTTATGTGGAAAACGAGGATATAGTTAGACTTAAAATACCTAAAACGCCAGAAATAACTGAGGATCTTTTCGAACCTTACACACATGTTAGGCGGAGTAACACTTTGAAGAGCGAGGACCTGTGCATTCGCTCCAAGAGACGACCAGGTCTCAATTACTCTTTCGGTGGAAGCCTTAGATTAAGCAAAGGTTTTCAAAAAGATTTATGGTGAATAAACACCCTCATTAGTTAACATTAATAGCATCAAACTTCTCAGCACTTCCACTGATTTTAGATGTAGATAAAACTAAATTGACCAATCTGACTCAGAATCTCTGCCCCTATGCTCGATACAAACATAGGACAGCCGAAAGTGTAAATATTAGACTATAGGATAACTTGACGTAACGATTTACTTTATTCAAAAACTGACATGGTGAAAGGACAAAATCATTTTAATTTAATTCAAAATATCTTCGTTTTTGACGCGTTTGGTTTTGTCTGTTACGTGTGAAAAGAAAGCATGCTGTGTGATTTAAACAAAAACTTGGCCGACTAACAGCACTTGGCACTTAATACATTTACAAATACCTATACAATTGCACTTATAGAATGTGTCCTTCTAATTAAATTTTTCAGTAATATTTCCACAGTAATCCTCAAAGAGATTAGTGGTGAGTGTTGTACGATTTTGGTGACTGAATATTGACTAACAAGATAGAATGCTTGCGAATGAACTAACAAAATGTGTCGCACGCACCTCTTCATAACAAACATCTTCCTTTGCAGCTCTCACTTTAGCTTCTACCATAATCATTAGGTCACCCCATCGACGTCATCGCCTCCTAGAATCACTATTTTAAGTATAAAGTTTTATATTAATATTAACAGTGTCGCACAATTCGGTTTCAAAAACACGCGTGTGCTTTAATTTTATTTAAAAAGATTAAATGCATTTGCAAGTAATTAAATTCAGCCTTAATTTTATTGTATTGTTGATTTTTGATTTTCTAACTCGATGACTATTGCGTATAATAACTGCAAGTATTCTTTACTATTTCCACTCTTTCAGGGACTATTGATACAACAGTTCACAACAATCGCCACAAATCAACATTACACGAAATTCGCTGCTAAAGATGAAATGCAAATATCAGTAACGACGATGCCGAACAATAATGATCAAATATTGATAGAATACGAGGACGCAAACGAGCACACGCTGTTCGTCGCAAAACCTGCAATGGCCGATGACACTGATAGTAAGTTTGATGAAATTCTACAATCTGCGTACAATCCAGACACCGCACCTTTAACTATAGAAATAATTAATGAAGACGATATATCAGAGAAGTCACCGGAAAATCTCATAATTGAAAACTCATTTATTAGCACTAGTAGTTTAGAAGATTCTATTAAAATATACAACGTGCAGACTGGGGAGATTGTTAAATGTAAGCCCGATGATAACGTATCGCCGAGATACGAAGAAACGGTTGACAACAATGAAAACGTTGAAATATTTGATAAGAATCTCTCTGAGGAAATGAACGACAGCCTCAGTACGAATGTTGATACGTGCGAGGAAACAAACACAACTATTACTAACGTAGAAAGAGAAGAGAGTTTGAACAAAATCAGTGATATAGAGGAAATCCTGTCGCAACTTCCTAACGTAAAGGAGTTAGCTAAGAAATTTGTCAGCATGGAGAACTTAAACGAACCAACCAAGGTCAGTATGATACCTGAAAAATTGATAAGAAATTATCATTTTATCACTGAATCTTTGAATTTTAATGTGTTGAGTAATGCATCTAACAATTTGCAACTTAATTTTAATAAAAGAATTCAGTTTTTAAATTGAGAAGTTTGAACAGATATTGATGCTATAATTCGAAGGTTCGTGTACTAATGAAACCGTAACTTTACAGCCTCCACAACAGCCTGTACGACGCAGAAAGAGCAAAGACAACCTACTTAACTTCGAAGACAAAACTGACAAACAACCAAACAAACTAATGTATATGCACAGTCTCACAGCTAGAAGCATATCAAAAGAATTTCGCGAAGAACTGAAAATGTCTCTAGCAACACCACTCACTGTTCCCGGAGGTTCTAAAGCCATTCCCGAAGGGACAGAGGAGGTGTCCAAGGAATCTAGTAGACCGGGTAGTCCAGTCCCCGAACCCGGCACTATAAAAACTAAATTAGCGTTCTTCGAAAGTTTAAAATCTAAATTGAGCAAATAAATTGAGGTATTTTTTAGTCTTAATTGTGATATTAAAAGATAAAATATTCTATTTTCTAATTTTAAATTCGAATGACAAAATATTTATTCAACTCTGATATTAATATCGTTTTCGTAACCAGCTTCAGGCATCGTCGCTTCCTTGAGTGCTATCACAAACTTAGTGCTAATGTTTAAAACAATATCATACTACACTTGGTTTACTGTTTGTAAACCAATTTCGTAGATACATCAGTCATCATGTCACAAAACTACAAACTGAACGATAATAAACGAACATTTTATTTTTTAATGTTGGCAACACTGAAAGCTAGAATATAACAATGGTGATCTGCTAAACTATTATGTGGGTAGAATATTTTAGGTCTATATTTCATTGCATACGGTCAGTGTCATTAAATTATTATTAACGATTTTACGACCATTAGGATAAAATGTAAATATTTAGTGCCATTTTGTAATCATTATTCGTGTATTTAGCTAATGCCAAAGTTCTGAATATATTTCTTAAATTGGTGTGTAGGGTAATTGAATTTTTTCCTCTGCGGGTTGTGTCATGTTCATAATAATCAATATGTTATAATTATTTAGAATTAAGATGTGCAATATTCATCACATAAACAGTGAGAATGTAAGTTTGTGAAATAATTTGTATATTTAATTATAATAGACATAAATGTTACCTTTTTATGAAATAACTATGTAATTGTATCTTAAAATTATAACATTTCATAATAATAAAAATATATTTCATGAAAAATAGTTTTATTACTTGATTCTTCATTAAAACTTTTCATCACAATGTTTTATGGCTTATTTTATAGATTTTTTTTACAACATTAGGTGGCAAACGATCAAGCGGCCACCTGAAATCGCCAAAATGGCGAAGCGACCGCTGCCCATAGACATCTGCAATTGCAGATGCGTTGCCTACCCTTAATTGACGGAGGAGGAGACGCACATAAAGAGGACATTTCCCCTTCACCGTCAAATCCAATTTTCCTCACCATCCTTTCCTCTTAAGAAAAGGGTGGAAAGGGAAAGAGACTAAAATTAGGCCTCCGGCACCACACTAAAGATATATTTATATTCTATTATAAAAATATATTCAATTTAATACTGTATACATTATAATACTTACTGTTTCTACTCTCATATTGCAAATCTATACTATTATTATAAAGAGGAAAGATTTGGATTTTTGTATGTATTACATTCACGTAAATACTACTGGGCTGATTTTAAAAATTCATTCAACATTAGAAAGGTAGTTTACCTGTAACTAACATAGGCTGTATTTATTATTTTTTTAAATTCATGCGGATGAAGTTGCGAGCAACAGCTAGTATGTTTATAAATTAATAAATACCCATATGTTCAGTAAAATATACCCAGAGTTTTATGATACGGTATACTTTCAACCTCCTGTGCATGTTTTCTTCTATAACACCAAAGGTAGTAGTCAATCAAAGTGGAATTAGGCACAGATACATTCAACTCTTTTTCCTTTATTTCTTTTTCTATTGTCTTCTTTAGCAATTCCACTGCGTGTATTGAGCAACCTCGTATTTCTATTTCTTTATCTGATCCACTTTCAAGGAGTTCATCTGAACAGAAAAATATTAATTTAATAAACAATTTCATCATCATTTTACCTGTAAATGTAATTTAAGAGGACCATGATATTAAAATCCAATAAAAAAATCACAATTTTTCAAAGAAATTAAGTTATCTCAGATTAAAATTAGTAGTAAAAGTACTAACCATTCTTCAATTGCTTCATCAGTTCATCACTATATGTCATAACACCAAAATAAACTAGTACTTGAGGCACTCTGTAATCTGCAAACATTGTTAACTTGTCTACATCCTCAAACTGTCCCCAGCCAGTGCCGTTGAAAAAATTCCACAAATCGGCAACTAAAATCTGCGCTCGCTTATAGAATGAGACTGCTTGACCATTATATATAGCTTCATCTTTAAAGCATGGGAAATTGTGTACTACAATCTCGAGCAATTTTATCGCAGATTTATTGGCTTCTTTTACACAAGTTTCAAATGTACCATTGTACTTTGCAAGGAGTATTGTACCAATTTCATGTAAAACAGAAATTCTTTGATCAAATAATGGTATAACACCATTATCACCTTTCATGATGTTAGACAATTGTTCTTTTGTTATTTTAGAATAAAATTCAGGGTTTGTGATATCAACACCATTCTGTCATAAAAAAAATAAAGAAATTCAAATTAAAAATAACTTGCTACAAACAATGCAAGCTTTTTAAAACTTTTAAGCATAAATTTAACAACATTATAACATAGTAATGTTAAATTATACCTTTACTGCTCTGTTCAATGCAGCTTCCAGAGCTAAATATCCAGTGAAACCATCGACAACCCACTGCTCTTCTTTATTTTTGGACCAAAAACAAAAATTCAGCGCATCCGTCACAAAGACCCAGTCGACTGCTCGCGGATGATCTTTTGAAGGATGAATTGAGTCAGACCCTGTGTCTGGCATTTGTAACTGATTACATTTGATACTTGAAAGTATCTGAAAATAACGATTCATTAATAAACAGCACAGTGAAATAAAAAAAAAAAACAGGTCTACCTGGGGTTTCTTAACTGGGACAATAACTTTAAACCACTATACTATTATAATTTTTTTACCTCTTCGCACAACCTTTCCCCACCATCCTGGTTGATTTTAACATGTTTTGCATGCTTAGCAATATATTCTCCAGATTTAGCTGGTGGCATTACACCATCTCGAGCCATTATTCCTGTATAATTTAAATATAAAATAAAACTTTTGTTCTTGTTAGAATTTTTGTTATCAGTTTGTTTTGGACCAGAGATAAGAGGTACTTGACCTTGAAAAATTTGACATTGACAGCAAAAATCAAAGATTAAGTTTTTGTGGCCTTGACAAAAGTTTGTGTTTCTAGTAAATGTCAACTTTGCATATTGTTCTCAACCAACCCAAATAAAGCCAAATAAAAAAATTCCGAAAATGCTTACAAATCAATAATTTTGAATTTCTTTTTTCAATACAAATTCGTTGAATTCATCGATAATCTTTGTAAAATCATAGACAAGATTGTCAAAGACAATTTTGTCTTTGTGAAATGTCAATGTCATTGTCAATTATTTTTAAAATCTAACCTCCAAAGTTTGTTGACAAAACTTCCATTTTTAATTAATTTCATTAATAATTCGCTAGGATTCAACGTAAACTTAATAAAAACAAATTTGTAGTATAAGAAAATAATACCTTAAGTGATAATGGCACAAGATGGAAATGTTAAAGTTACGTTTGTGTCTCAAAAAATTAAAAAAATACGTTGGATACCGGAAGACTATGCAGAAGCTCAATGTTTTTTCACTGGCAGCTGGGACGACGAGATAAATGATATTAAAGTATGGGTTCTGGATTATATAAATGACAACGAAGTAAAATACCCTAAAGAAGCATCCAAATTCGTAGTTGAAGGTGATGTTACCGAAATTCAATTCACGGGTAAAAATGTCATAGCAGTTTCAACGTCGGACGGAAAAGTAAGGCTATTACAAATAAGTGAATATGAAAGAAAAACTCCACTAAAAGAAGTGTTTATCTGGAATAACCTACACAAAATTGCGTAAGTATATTCAATTTGTTAAATAGTTTTCACACAGTTAAAAAATCAAAATGAAAATTTTGAAGTATAGTGTTTTTTCCATTTTTTCCATAATAAACTGAAAAACAGGTACTCTTTAACCATATCCAAAGTAGTTTTTGTGGTTTTCTTATTTGGAAATTTTCAAAAGTTGTTTTGCTTTTAAATTTACTTTCACTGGAGCATTCTCTTAATTTCTCTTTAACTTACAGTCGGCAAGCATGTTCATGCACAACACTAGCTACCATGGAGGGTGACATAGCATCAGTTGGTGAGGACGGCAATATCAACATACTGAACAGTCGTAGAGGAGACATCACTAGAACTATAACAGAAGCTGACAGTTGTTCCTTACATTCTGTCTGCTTTATTAAGCATAATGAGGTAATTGTAATATTGCTTTATTGCTAAAATCATCTATGTATTATTTTCAACTACTGAAACTAACACTTCATATTTGAAAATTAAATCCAAGGCTGTAGGAACTTCTTTTAAACTTAAGTACCTGCCCTTGTCCCTACAAAGGGTCAGTCATGTTCTGATTCAATAATTTATTATAATTAAATTATTATCCCTATTAAAATTGTATAGATTTACATTTTAATAACCTGATTTCAGATTATCACTGGTAATTTTCGAGGTCATATGAAGATTTGGGATCTCCGATCACCAGACAATAAACCAACAAACTCGTTCCTTTTCGGTGGTGATCAGTTAGCAACAACTTGCATCATTAATCATCCAACACAACCATATTATATTCTAGCTGGAAGTGAATCAGGAGCAATTGCGATATGGGATTTACGAATGAATACATTCCCTTCTGCATTAAAAGGACATTCTTACGGAGTAACGGAAATGAGATTCCATCCGGAGAATCCAAATAAACTACTAACCAGTTCATTGTCTGGAGAACTCTGGGAATGGAACATGGAGGCGGTGATGAAAAATACAAAAGCCACGGAAAACTGGATCCCTCTACAAGATAAAAATGCAACACCAACTAATACACTGTTAGAATCTTTCAAACCACTAAATTCTTTTGACTGTAACAAGGGTAATATTTTAGTTGCAGGTGAAAATGAAGCTATACATTACATTAAGAACTTTAAGTATTAAGAAATATGTATTAAAAATTTATAAAAATCTATTTCGTGTTTTATTTGTGGAACGAAACAATTCTCTAATTATGATATATATACCCACTAAGTTTCAAAGCCTACCCTTAGTTGGAATAACTAAGCCACAATTAACCACTTTAAAAACCTACAGTCAACATTCATATTTATAAGCAGTGCAATGAAATCATAAGTTATAGTAACTTCAAAGATGATTTAAAAATTCGACAAAAAAAATCGAGCTTATCATATCAAGTATTCACAGATTATATGGTAAAAATGACCATAACCAAGAGGGAGTAGGTAGTCTTAATAGATCAATTCGACTCGATCCTTACAAGTAAATATGAAATCAAACACAATATATTAAATATGTATATTTTATTTAAAAATGGAAGTATATATCCTTATGAAGTAATATACAATACACAAGTCAGTCTTTGCGTGTCTCGTCACAAGACAAAGAGACCACATTACAAAGTAATATTTACACAAAACAAACAGAAATTCTATTAATACTTTATTAGGAAAATATCATTTATAAGGCACCGATTTACAACCTTGTTTTAGACAAAATGTTATTGCTGTAATTGTATTTAAAGATATGTGAGGTTTACAAAATGTTTTGCAACATCTTTTAACAGTGGAAATAGAATCTGCAACATGGTAACATTATAATTTCAATGGCACCTAATTAAAATGTTTGAAATAAATTTTGTAATAAAGAGACTGGAATTAACTTTAACATAATTACTTTCTTAGAAGTTAAACGGATATTTTGCATCTTCATTTATTTTGATATTCTAAATGTGTTTATCACAATACAAAGTGTGTTTCTTATTCAACATTTATAGCATGCCTTGATTAAAAATTACAGCCAATAATGTTTAAAGATAAAATCTTTATTATACAAATAGGCAATGGTTTGGTAATCCACTATTAAAAAATTTAATTATAAAATTAAAATTGTATGAATTAAAAATTTTCCTCTATATCTCACACAATAAATAAAAAGAGCCTCATTTGTCTGATATTTCTCAATATACTGTAAATAATATTTAAAACAATATAAAAATATACAATTTTAAAATACAATTTCAAAGTGTTAGTAGATAAGGTCCAATTTCACTGTGACTTCGGTATTGCTAAGAATTTAGTGTTAAAAGCAAACAAATTAAGAACCTCCTTCAGGAAGTCGTTTCAAAAGTCATATATAATTAATATCTATCAAAATAGTGACTTAGATATTTAACATATTGGTAATAATGCAAGACAAACTACGAGTCACTGACACAAACATCTGCATTTCCTAACCTACACTTAGTATACAATTATCTATCCATATTCGATTCTTGTCTTTTTAAGTATAATATATTCGTAAACGGAACTTTTGACATAAAAAAAATATTATGAACCACATAATTTACAACAGCCAAACTTCTAACTACAGTTCTGAGGAACAGTAATAATAAAAAATTGTCGGATAGTAGATACATGTTGTTAATAATATAACAATATCATAAAGTAATTCTTTACACTTAATACTTGCTGCAAACTCTTTGGGTTGACTGGCAGAAAGTAACAAATTGTCACTGAATACAGCCGAGCTTCACTTCACTAGTATACACATCTTCAAATTTCACTAAGACCACTTCGCTGCGTGTTCCACTGCGCACTGCTTACTGCTC